TATTTGAGCGGGAAGCTTTGGATTCATTCCTCACTTCGGTCATAAAGGGATTACTGTAGCAGTCCGAGTCTTAGCACCTCGGACCTGTCCTTACACTATTCCCCTCCCCCGAAGTCATTCACTTGTGAATGATGTTGTTGGGGATAATGAGGACAGTGTAAGAACAAAGAGGATACGGATACATCATAAAAAGAAGAAATAGAATTTGTAATTTGAATGCATACATAGCCATGTGCGATAAGAAGAAAGTGTGACCAGAGCGATAGTGGCCGTAGCCATGGTAAAAATAATGATCAAAGTTAATGTGGCTGAAGCCATAATAAGAGATGATAACCGAAGTCGTGGTGTCCGGAGCCACAATAAAAAATGATAACTGGAGTCATAATGTAACCAGATCTGTGATAAAAAACGATGACCGGAGTCATAGAGGTCAGGGCGGTGATAAAATATGATGACCGGAGTCATAATGGCCGGAGCCATAATAAAATATGATGACCGGAGTCATAATAAGATAATGACCGGAGTCATAGTGACCGGAGTCGTAGTGGCCGGAGCCGTGATAAAATATGATGACTGGAGTCATGATAAGATAATGACCGGAGTCATAGTGACCGGAGTCGTAGTGCCCGGAGCCGTGATAAAATATGATGACTGGAGTCATGATAAGATAATGACCGGAGTCATGATAAGATAATGACCGGAGTCATAGTGACCGGAGTCGTAGTGCCCGGAGTCGTAGTGCCCGGAGCCGTGATAAAATATGATGACTGGAGTCATGATGGCCGGAGCCGAGGTAAAGTATGTGACATGTAGTCACAGTAACTAGAACTGAAGTGAAACATGTGTCTCTGTGGCCGGAGCCGAAGTAAAACACTATGCCAGTTTAAAAGTGTAATTGTATAGGTAAACAGAAGTGCTGAGTGAAGCTTAAATATAAAAATGGGAATCAAAATGGCCAGAGCCATAATAAAATATAATGACCGGAGTCATAATGGCCGGAGCCGAAGTAAAATGTGTGATACAGGATCACTGTGGCCGAAATCGATGTGAAATGTAATGTAGCATTATTATGGCCGGAGCCGAAGTGAAATACTTGACAAAATTGAGAAAAGTAAACCAGGGTGTTGAAATGGGCGTGAGTGGGTCCGTCTGGAAAATCTGACAACGTGGTGTGACAGTTGTCCTTGGAATGACGTGTGCAATAAATGCAGCCGTAAAAAGGTAACTGCAACAGTTAAACGGGCACATTTAAAAACGAACCGTCAAGTTCAAAACGGTACCGTTTGGGGTTGCCCATTGAATTCCAAACGGTGTCAACAGGGACCGTAGGATTAAACGAATCTCAGCCATTGAGATCTAATTTCGCCCAGAAGTATAAATAAACATTTTTTCTGCAGAAAAAGGTTTACTTGCATTTCTTTTCCTGCAAAACTTCTGCGAGAAGCTTCATTGTGCATTTTCCGTTCGTGAACTGCGGTAACAACTGGGGATCTCTACATCAAATCTTTCGAAACCGAAATCAGGTATTTTACACGAATCTCTGATTTCAAGTTAATCGAAGTGTTCCTCTCCTTTCTCCCTTTCTGTGGTTGGTTTAGAATCCTTTGGAGGAAGTTAGGGTCGGAGGCGAGAGGGGTTTTGAATGTGGAGACCGGGGTTGTGGATTTTTTTTTTTTTTTTTTTTTAAATCCTAACTTATTCCTCCCCCCTACTTGGTGCAGAGTTTGAGAAAATGTCATAAAAAAGAACACAAAGTATAGTAGGGAGTGAGGTGGAGCCCCTGGACTATGGGGGCATGGACAGTGAGAGTAGTCCGTCCCCGTCTAGTTCGGAGAAAACGGTGGAGGGGGTGAGAGGAGATGAGATGGTGGAAGTTGAGGAAGGAGACGTGGTAGAGGTGGGGTATAATGAGGGAGGAGGGGTTGAGGTAGATAGCATACCCATCACCGTAGTAGAAGTAGAAAGTAATGGGGAGAGAGGTTATGATAGGAATGCAGAGATAGTGGAAGAAGTGAAGCAGTACCGATCTGAACTAAGGAACAGGGAGGACCTGTGTCACTTAGTGGAAACGTACGAGATCTCTTCTCGGGTATTAGTTAGGCCAGCTAGGGTAGAGGAGAGGGCATGTTCTGCTCCTCGGGATCATTGGATGCCCGTATACTCCCATTATTTGTATGCTGGGCTTAAGTTTCCAATTCCCGAGTTGCTAATAGGTTTATTGTTAGATTACAACATAGGGTTGACACAGTTGGTCCCCAACGCAATGAGGGTAATAATAGGTTTTTTAGTTTATTGCCGAGCTCAGGGGATCAGTGTGCCAACCGTTAATATGTTTAAATATTTTTTTGTTTTAAAGGGGGGTAGCAGGAGAGATAAGGGGTGGTATTATTTCACCCCGAGGGTAGCTAATAAGGAGGGTAGGATTTTATTCACTACGGGTCCTTCATCCATTAAGGGATGGAAGGAGAAATTCTTTTTTGTTGATGACACGGAATGGGGGAAAGGGGATGCCGAGGTGAGGGCGTTAGTCTCTTGGAAGGCCAAAAGGGCCAACCAGAATAGGTTTAGTTTGAATGGGGACGAAGAGGAAGAAGTGGGGAGGTTGGTGAGGAAGAGGGGGGATGTACTAAATATTATGGACCTCACTAGCGTAGCATGCATAGAGGCTGCTGAGCTCTATGGGCCAAGCGCTTTGAGTGAAGGTTTGTTTATCATGTACTGTAGCGTTTAATCTATAGCATAGAATTGTAACTAACATTGTGTTTCTTCCGTTGCAGCTGACATGGAACAGTTTCTGAATACTGCTGGAGGGAAAGCCATCCCCAAGAAGCCAAGGAAGAAGTCAAGGACTTCAGCTAAGCAAGTGGATGAGGGGAGAGCTGGGAAGGAGGTAGTGCCCTTAGCACCAGCTGAGGTGGAGGAAGAGGTGCCAGCACTGAAGAGGAAGGGTTGGGAGGAGAAGAGGGCGCTGCAGAAGAAGCAGAAGGTGGTGGAGGAAGAAGGGAGTGGGGTGCCTGAGTTCGTACCTCAGCCACCTCCTGTTGAGCTGGACCCCGAGCTCAGACAGTTGGAGGAGGGGGCTGAGATACGAGCTCCTGGTAAGGGGAAGGGCCCTGTTACCTCGGCGGTGTCTCAGAGCAGCCTGTTCGAGGCGAAGAACATGATGGGGGCTAGGTGGTTTATCAACAACACCTTCCCCGAAGTGGACAAACGCCACGCGCGAGAGAAGGCTCTGAGGTACGGAGGAGCTTCTGTGGTGAAGCACGTCCTTGAGGTACGTTAAATTAATGCTGCTGTTTACTTATTCTGTTTCTTCTCTTCTGGTTCTTTGAACTTCTGCTTTGATTTGCAGAGCGCGAGCTGGGTGAATGGTCTAGCCCAGGAGTTCAGGGAGGGTGTAAAGGCACGCGCACTCTTGCAGAGGCAGTGTGACCAGCTGCAGAAGGAGAAGGAAGAGCTGGAGAAGAAGAATAAGGAGATGCAAGAGTCTCTAAACGAGGTGGTTCCAGCTATGAAGCAGTTGGAGCAGGAGAGGTCTTCCCTGAGCACCAAGCTCGTCTTTGAGGAGAGCAAACGAAGGATCTCTGAAAGCGAGCGTGAGGCTCAGGCGCAAGAAATAAGGCTGATGACGGAGGCATTCAAGGAGCTGAAAGGGAACATGCAGAAGTTGGTGCATAATGGAATGAAGGAGCACATCAGCAACTTCATCAGTTCCAGCTCGTTTGACAGCATCGTCAACTTGTACCGGCTGCCCACTGCCATCATCGCGTTCACGGATTGCAGAAAGAAGGTGAAAGCTGCATATCCCGAAGTGGACGTGACAAGGATCACCTTCGGCGAGCAAGAAGAAGGAGTGGAGGAAGACGGTCAGAGCATGTCAGCAGACTTCTGTCCTCAAATCAAACTGAGGTGGGAGGATGATGCAGACGGTCTTGCTGTTTTCCCTCCAGAATTCGACTTCGAGTTGTGGCAGTGGAGGAAGAAGGGGCAGAGGTAGGAGGAGACGAAGTGGAGGCAAGAGTGGAAGGAACTGAAGTGGATGAGAGGCAACTAGTTCCAGAAGTAGAGATCCACTCAGTTCCTTCTGACGATGAGCAGCCTCCACTGCCAGATGATCAGCAGCCAACACAACCACCTCTTCCGGCTGAACAGGAGCCAGTGGAACCAACTCCACCAGCAGAGAAATAATTTTTTGCTTATGAATTTTTGTAGAAACATTAAACAATTTGTAAAACTGTTATTGCTGTTAAATGAAAATTCGATTTTGAAATTATATTATTTGTTTATGTTTGCTTTATATGTTTATTGTTATTTATGAATTAAAGAGCTGTGAATACTTGAGACGACTGAAGAATTAAGAAGAAGTAATACACTTCAGACGAGTTAAGAAGAAGTAAACTACTTCAGAGATTAACCAAAGTAATTCACTTCAGACGAGTTAAGAAGAAGTAAGCCACTTCATATGAATTAGGAATAAGTACGCCATTGCAAACAAATTAAAAGGAGATAAAGCACCTCAAATGTGAAGTGACTTTTATTAACAGAAGTGAGGTTCGAGAAATGAAAGAACTAATTAACCTCGAGTACATAGAATAAGAAGTAAAATGAATCTCAACAAACATGAAGTGAGAAACGTAAAGAA